TCACACAGAATCCCCAGGTGTCCAACCAACGCCTCCTGAACCAGACTGGTAGGGAGGGTGGGGAGATGAGCCAAATCCCACAGCACCTCCAGCACCTGATAATGATTCACAACATAGGTTTAGTACATGTAGGACCTTTGTTTGACAGGACAGGATTTGTATCAACAAACCTTTCCAGTTGTAGTTTCAGAGCGAGCTTCTCTGCCAATCCTCCCGATCAAACTGAGCAGCTTCTGCCTCACGCGGTCGCTCTCGATCTCCCAGCTCTGAAAAATATACAAATACATCACTGTCACACACACACACACACTAAAGCAACTTAATGTCGATATACTTTTAAAAATTTCAAATCCCAGCGCTGACCTTCTGTATGAGCACAAAGAGGTGGGTAAGTTGGTCAAAACTGAACTTCACAGCAGCAGCAGCAATGATTGTGTGAATGTTTTCTATCACAGTTGATGACTGGCCCGCCTGGAACAGATCACATAAGAACACATGCATTCAATTTATAGTTGAGGCTCCTTAGAATTGGTAATATTACACAGCATAAACAGTCCTAGTTCTATAAAAACTAGGACTGTCAAAATGATCAGAAGTTTTTGCTTCACTGAAGTAGCTTGGACCTAAAATATCATCTCAATCTCAAGCATGTGTTTGTGGAGCCCAAATGCATTGTGACAGACTGTAGATCAATTATAATTGTCATAAGATTCACAGTAATGACAATGACAATCAAACGATAACACTATGAAGCAAAGTTTTGAGTTATAGATTTAGATCCTTTACATTGCCTCATAATAATAATAATCATTTGGATTAGTCACAAATAAAAACAGGTGTGAAACACATACAACTTCCTGCTAATATTTTCTTTCTGTTCCAGCAACATGCAGAAAAAATATGTTTTTGTCATATTTAGGAATGATGGTTTTCTCTCACAATTAACATTAATCACGTTAATTGTGATTAATTATCATCATGATTAATAATATTTTATTCAGCTCCAGAGACCCTGTGATTAATCAGATTGAGCACATGTTTAGTTTGACAGCCCTTATAAAAATATAAACACTAACTAAAAAACTGAAATACCACTTTGGTGTGTGTGCCTCTACTCACCTGTATTCTCCAGATTTTGGTGAGTTCATCAAGTGACAGTTTACTTCCCAGAAGCTCAATGATTCCCTTTATCCTTTCACAGTACTGAGCTTGATCAATATTACCTGGTACAGAGCAATATTAAAATATATAAAAAAAACAATAATATGAAGTTGTATTTTTCTTTCCCAGTAAGTGGTAATATGTTTGTGGTGCTGTGTAAACTATCAAATGACATAAATACTCAATATTTTGTCTCACCCTCCAGTGCTATTGATAAGACTGAATTCTCCACCAACCAGTCAAGCAGTTTGTCTGTGTCAATGGCATTTTTCACTGACTTAGACACAGTGCTCTCTTCTATTAACTTCGTCACCTAAAAATAAAATTAAACATCATTAGAAACACTGTATTATGCAGTAGCATGAACAGACTTTTCAGAATATCGAGCTGACCTCTTTCAGGGAGTTCATCTTTGTGGAGAAGTGGGGGGTTTTAAGCATACGCAGCAGAGTGTCGAGTCGCAGGTCGTCCACCACAGCCACTAGTTCCCTCTGAAACCTCATGCACAGCAACTTGATGGCTGACAGCAGGTCGGGGATGCTGACCAGGCGCTTGTTATAAGACAACATGGAATGACTTAGTAATAGACCTTGATTAGAAATGACAACAAAGGAACACTGTCTTGGCAGTTACTTAAGTAAGTGGGGCCACAACCCCAACAATTATCATGCAAAAACATATTACTGTGATTTAATAGATGTCATCATCAAACGTTAGCTCGTCAAACGTCGTTGTTGAACAATATAAACTCTAGAGGCAGAGTAAATATATACAGCACCTACCTTGTCTTTAAGATCTTTTTCTTCCAGGTTCTGCACATATGTGATCATTTTGTGGATGACTGGGTCAAGCATGGGCTGGAAAAAATAAAATTAAAACCTTTGTTAATAAAACCAAATAACAATTAAGCAAATAAAGCACGTCAGTGTACAACAAAAAATAACAAAAAAATCTTTAACTGTTTCTATGTGAAATAGCTCAGATTTTCTAGATGATTTTTTCCCAACAAATACAGGGAATTGAAGGTTTGAGCTCCCACTGAATGGGTTAAATGCAGAGGACAAATATCATGGTGTGCATGTGCGTCTGTACATGGACAATGACCGTAGCGATGATTCTTCTTCTTTTGTTTTTAAATTAAAAAGTGAAAAGTAGAGTGCGTGTGTGTTTTGATTGTTGTAATTGCTGAGCAGAAGAGAAAAGTCACCTGGACGAGGCTGGAGTTCAGATATTCTGCACAGACTCCAAGAGGCTGGACCAGAGCAGACACACACTGTGCAGAGAAACAGACACAGAATAACTCAACCCTGACATAAACCATAGGGGAACTATGGTCCGACTACATCCTGTGGTAAATCTAAACCATCACTGAAATAAATTATTATCCTTCATACAACACTTTTTATTAGACCATGAACATAAACTAAAAAAGTGTTTTTACTGTTACATGTGCGTGAGAGTCAGGGTCAGGGAGAGTGAGCAGTTGTGTGTTGTAAGTCCAGCTGTCATATGTCATTCTGTGATAAATCATAAGAGCTTAGGCACTGGTTTCCATGTTCCTGTCTAAACCCAGTGACTGTCTCCCTTATCTACTGCAGGCCTTCGAGAACGGTTACTTCACTTTCCCCTTTGCTTTACTTATATATAGTTCACTTTATAGCACATTTTGTCAGCTTGTCTATAGGTTGTAAATGTTGCTCCAAGCAAACCTTGTGACATGTCCTTACTTCTATTACCAAACAACATGTTAAGCACTAATATGGAATATACCATTTCCCAGATATGTAAACAACTGACCTGAATATAAAACATATAGACAAACCATGCTAAGAAAGACGTGTAATTAACATTTTGTTCAAAGCATACAAATAAAAAACATCAGCTCCTCAACAGAAGCAGCACACAGAGCACTTTTCACCTCTTCTACATTTCATCTGTACAGGGATTTTGTTTGGTATTTTACACACTTCTCTGATCTCCCACTGCTACTGAAAACTGAAACAGTGGTTCACAACCGGCCTCTACCTCATTAATATGCTAATGAGCACAGGGAGCATGTGTGCACACAGGAGCAAACCAAATCAATGGCTGCGCACCACTGTGCTTCCGGACAGGTTCCCGGTAGGAAGCATCAGTACAAAGATGCCACAGAACACATACCACAACAGAGCATTTGAACGTTCGCACAGCAGGAGGATGAGAGTGTGCTTGTATTCTAGTGAGCATTACTGAGAAGGGAAAAGGGAGACATTCAGCACCCTGGTGTAGTAGGGGTAAACATGATGACCTTTTGCCTACTTAGGGTTTTTTTAAAATCCCAAACCAACACTATAGTGAGGAGTATTTCCTCAATATTATTGGGAAACAGATGTGGAAAAGAGAGGTCTTACAGCAATTTCAATTTCCTCCGTGTTGAGCTTAGTCTGGATGGCAGTGAATCCTTCTAATTCTCCAAACTGGGCAAAAAAGTAGAGAAAAGGTGATGAGATGATAGACAACATGCAATATTTGTGAATAAATTAATGGAAAGGTGTTTGTTACTCACTCGATTCACTAAATCCACCAGCCAACCATGAGGCTCCTGAAACATTTATAAAACATTTCTATCACTTTGAGTTGGTTTCTTTAGCAATAGCGGTGAACTTTAAATCACACACACACACACACACACACGCTCTGAAGGGTTCAACAGCTGTTGTGTGTCAGTTATACATGTTATACAACACTGGGGGTTAGAACTCATCTGTTGGCCCCCGAGTAGTACTACACACTCACCAAAGACTGAGCAAGGCAGAATGGAACTACCTTAACAGCTTCACACAGTCACAAGTGACTCTGGATGAAGTGGCACACGTGGATAAGACTGTACAGTAGTTAAACTGAAGGAGGGATTCAGAAAAAACAGGAGCTACTTACTTTCTGATAGCTGTTACTGGGAGAGACAGCAAACATGTTGGCCTCATCTCCAAAAACTTCAGCCCAGTTCCTTTGACAGGCCTTCATCCGATTCTTGAAATGGTACTCATTATCAGGGTTGAAGGCCTGGATACGGCAACAAAAATACACAGCATGGTCATGGTATATGATTACAAGAGGGCGTGTTGGGTGCAAAATGTGCATTTAAGCTCGACATGGAAGAATAACTTACAAACAAATGAACAGCCAGTGTCTTAACATGGACAGTTCAACGAGGCCACGTGACAGGGCTGTTAACTCTTTCAGAAGACAAGACTAAGGAGAGTTTATGTACTGGCCACAGTCAGTAAAGATACCTGCCGTGTTAGCTGCTGCAGGTCCTCTTCTTAATTTGTTATTATAGAGTTGTTTCCAGCTGAGTCTGTTAGCTTTTTGCAAGTTGGTGATGAGACACAGATTCATTAAACATCTGTATATATCTTATATGTATGTTGTTAAGTTTAAATGTTTGAAAAAAAAGTAGTAGTGCACTAGCCATGTGATGTGTGCCAGTGTGACAACATTCGCTCTTGTTAGGGATTAAAACGTTGCCCATGTGTTCAGATATAAGTATAAGTAAAACTAGGCTTGTTTAGAGAAACAACGTTAGGTTTGGCATATACTCATCTACATATAAGATGTTAGAGTTTACAAAAATAATATATATAAATAAATAACATATTCAAAAATGGATAAGAAAACTATTTTATATTTATATTTTTCCTGAATTCAATTTAAAAAAGTTTAACAAAAAATAATTTTACCAAAATATTAGAAAATGAACCTTTAAAAATGGAAACACCCACCATAGTCAGGACTGCCATTAGGTTGACAGGTACTGGGTCTTGCTTGACTCTCTCTGCGACCAGCTCCACCAACAACATGAGCATGTTGTATATGCCCTCGTGAATCTCGGTGCCCCATTTGTGTACAGCACTGCTGGTCAGCAACTGCAGACAGAGAGCAAATGAACAGAGGATAAAGGATATCAGTAAACATACGCTGTTAACTGCACTGGAACTCAGGGCTCAGTTTCTTTATTGCTCACTTTCTTAAAGGCCTCTGGCATGCAGCGATCCATAAAGCGCTTGCAGTTCTCATCGGCATCTGCAAGACCTGACAGAAAGAAGACAAGGTATTCACATATTTAAACCCCTTTATGTTGAGGGAAAAAAATAGGCCTGTGAGAAAAGCAATGCAGATTGAGGCACGATCACACTAGGTTTTGAAAATATAAACATGAGAAAATACATCAGGGGGTCGAAAACAAAACATGCCACCCACACAGCATCACAGACAGAAAACATTCTCTTTGCCTAACTTTATACACACATACGTGCGTGCACACACTCATGGGTACACACTTACTGTGCTTGGCGAGGCAGGTGGATGCGATGAGGCACTTGCCGAGAGACTCCTCTCTCTTATACGGTATGGACCAGTGATCAGTAAAGACTCGACTTTCCAGCTCATACAGGTTGGTGGTGGGAAACTCCATGCTTCCCCCTGAGCAGTTCCCATTCTCGTCATTGCTCCTCTGCAATACACACGTGGAAAGGAGTTACAATCTTTTAACAGCTGGTCTCATGGCTTTAAGTAAACACAACTTTAGAAAATGTTATGACAATCCACAATACTCTCCAGCACTGATTAGGTCGATGTGATTCTACAAGGTATATTTACACTGCAAATATGTGAAAAGGGTTGTAATGTGTGAATCAGGGTGTGAGAACTAAAGTCAAGTTGTAATGAAGACTTTTTCTTTAGACTTTGGCCATTAGTCCAAGACACCTACCCTGCATGACATTGTAATGCTGTCATGTCAGAAAGAACTATACAAAGGCAAGTAAATATTCATCTCACTGAATGGTAACTCCTGCACTTTAATTAATAATGGCAAACAACATATTAACAAAACAGCAATGTATATTAGTATGCTAATGGGAAAAGCAATGACAGAAAACTATTTTTCAATAATTTACACCTTTAAGTTGCTTAAAAATTAACAGAGCCATTTCAATATTCATGATGAAACTACTGCAGCAGCTCTCATAAAAGTGTTGCTGACCGATGTGTATTAACAAACAAAGACATTGTCAAGCTAAAGCACCATATTTCATTCATTCCTTTTCTTAGAAAACCTAACATTCCAGCTAGCTGAGAAAAGGAAGAGAAAGGAGTAACGGGTTAAGAAAGAGAAGAGGGAAAAGCTGAATGAGAGTGAGGTTGAGAGATTCTCAAAAACATACCCTCAGATACACAACTAAATTTATATATTTATACTTATATATATTTATGTATTTATTTATTTACTATACCAAGCCGGATCCAGCAACCACCTTTGACAAAACACCACACCAATCTTTCTGACATCACAATATCAACATCTTAAGCCTTAAGGCAGAAGGTTTTCATTTGCTACAGAAGACAAACTTGTGCATAAATCTGTGTGGAAGGGCAGGACGGTGAGGTAACCCCGGGCCGCTCTGTTACCATGCACCCAACAATCCTCTGGAGACTCGTCTACAAAATATGCAACATGTTTTTGTGAGTGAAGGATACTACCAGCTAAATTTAGGTGCAAAACATCAGGCAGAAAACGTGTGACATTTCTCTTAGGCGTAAACAAATCAAGTTGACCAGACCATCACAGAGTAGCTGTAATGTTGAGTGAAAGAGACAGTGTCGGAGAACATTTGTTGGTAATGACATTTCTGCAAGTAATCCATCTGACAGGTTGGGTTAAATAAATACTGCATATTGTTGATATGTAACAGTGGACAATAAGCCTCCTCCAGCAAGTATTACTACCAGTGTAGAGCTGTGTGTTGGGGTGAGTAACTAATTCATTCTGCCTAAGCGGCAGCTAAAACGTCATCACCGTTGCAGCCTGAATCTAGAAACTGGGAATTTTTGTTTCCATTTGCCCCAACCTACAGGGTCCAAGGATGTTTGAGTTAAGTTGGTGTGGGAATATCACAGAAAAATGGAGGTGCATGAAATAAATAAACCTATTATTCATTACCAGTATCTAACTGCTGTGTTTACTGTCCAGTGCTGTTACAGGCCTACAAGGTCAGTGATCATATTAACCTATGTGTGAATCCATGCTGGTCAAACAGAAGAGTAACAGGTTCTACTGCTGTATGCAACCTGTGATGGAGATTCTAGTGTGACAGAATGTGACATTACAGGCAAACAAACAATCAAAACAGATTGTTCAGTTTTCTGCTTTCATTTTCCAACAACAGATCCACACTTGAGCAACAGGTTTAGGATCAGGCAGCTGAATAAGGTCACAAGTACCAGGTCCAGGTGTCTTTAGTGTATGTGTTGAGTATACAAGTGTTTATAAGTAACTCATGTGTACAATAATCTATTGTATACACCATTGGTGAATGGCATTCAGGTAAATTACTGACCAAGTGCACATATTACTGTGTTCCATTCCTTTCCTTTGCATAGCTGTGGGGTGTAAGATTTCATACTTATATAATGAGGTGTGACTTAGAATGGCTTTCTCTTCGTATAACTACAGAGTATGCTCATGTATTTAATTAGCAAAATTGGCTCACAGTTAGGGATCAATAGGTGCATCTCGTGTCTGTGGGTCAAAGCACTGACAAGCAAAAACTTATGGACGCAATCATTTGACACTTTTAGTTAAAGATCTGGGGAAATACTTCAAAATGGCCACGTATGTTAGACAACATTGCGAAAGTGCTTTAAAATTCCAGTTTGAGCGGACCGCAATCACAGCAGGACATGAGAGAGTGTTCACAATGTCAGGCAACCTGTATGTTACACAATTCTGGCCAAGGAAGACGGAACACATTTGGTAGTGGACTGAGTAAAGTGACATGAACCGTCCGACACTACTCGGCTCAACATCGGACTAAACTCTGATTTCACAGATTTCCACACACCGGAGTGTCTCTGCTGCACCTCCTGCTTCTCTTACTGGCGCTAAACTATGCTAACATAGCAAGCTAGCTCACTGGGCTAGCTCGTAAGTTTATTATTGCTATTTAACACAATTATTATAGTGCCTAAGTGCATATTTATAAACTGAACTCCAGACAATATATGGCATTGACATACTCTGTCCTGCATGACTTGGGTAATTTAATCTCTAGCTTTGACAGCTCACTTGTGCTCCGTGCATGCACTGCTGGGGTTTAGCTAAGTTTAGCTAGTTAAATGGGCGAGTCCACTCTCTCTCTCATTAAGTTGCAATTAACCACGTTTGTCCCAAA